TTGTATGACAAATAATGTTGCCAGAAATTACTATAACAGATATTTGGTCAGTATTTGTGAAATTGTGTTAGTATGATTCATTATGATAATTAGGTTTAAACTGCAAAAGTACAAAAGAAGTGAAAGGGAAATACTGAAAAAATTAGAGGGAAATAAAATGAGTGTATCTCACTAAATTCTAATATTCAGTTCTAAGTATCTAGTTAGTGATATTTCTTGAAAGATAAATGAGATGCTGTAAGTCTTTGGCTTGGGCTAAACCGTACAAATTTGTGGTCCTTCAAAATTACTATAAGCACTCAAATGAAAGAATTAACAAAGGAATCAAAGTGGGACAACAGAAAGACTGCTTCTCTAGAAATCTATCAGCAGCTTATGACTCCATACTTCTAAGATTCAAATCCAGCATTGCATGCTATGCTGGCATTAAAAAAAAAAAAAAGTGGAACCTCTTCTATAACACTCTAAACTTCATACTGCAACTATTTTAAATGGAGAGAAAGAAGAAAACCTATGGACAGTTACAAGTTACAGTTTCTTAAGATATTCATTCAGTCGTTACAGAAACAACAGTACCTGGAAAAACTGATTATAACAGGACCTTTCAAATTTGAGCTGCTGAGAAAATAAAGACAGTTGTTAATAAATATATGCATCAAACTGAAAATATTCTAGATTCTCTGCCATTTTTTTTTTCCAAATTGTTTGATAAGAAATAGGAAAAAGTGGAGAAAAGATGACTTAAACATCCTTCTTATTACTTTTATTTTCTTATGATGTAAGTTAGAGCAGCTTCATAGAATATGATGAATAGAGATCTAGGAACTCTGTGTCTTTTTTTTTATTGGACAATCTTCACTTTGGCAATTATGCCGATTCTTTTGGCAAAGACGCAAATGTAGCATTTGGTGGAGAAAATGAATATGTGTGGGTATGTAAGGAGTTATTTATCCAAATGTGTAATATTTTGACCTTATGATGTTCTATGTATTCGTTCATCTTCCAAATCTGTTTCACAAGGATGACGAATATACACTCCACTTGTACCACGTGCTGCACTGAGTGGGCAGCATAGCCATGGTCTTCATGTTTACTGAGTCTGAATGAGAGTAGAAAAGGTCGTTCACTCTACTGCAGCAAATCATGTTGTCTAGGCTAGGTGCTAGGTTTCAGTGCAGACTTTTTAGTGTTTACAGCTGCAAAATGACTCAGTAACAAATCTAAGAAAAGATCAGGATTCCAGTTGTTCCTCCCCCCCCCCCCCCCAAAAAAAAAATCTAAGTGTTTTCTTTTGTTGCTGAGCTCAATTCATCACAGAGATGCAGTCTCTTCAATGATGCAATCACGTTGCTTGGAAAATCAACTAGTTTCTCCTAGTGATTCAGTATATTGCTTGATGTCATCACTGGTTGGTATCTTCCGGGATTCCAAAAACTTCTCATAAAAATGCGATACTCTGTCAGTCATTATCACTTGACAACGGTCTGACTCCCATCTATTCTATGATGGATGCTTTGAGACTGGGGTTTTTTGGTTGGTTGGTTTTGGGGGGTGGTTTTTAGCCCCACTGAGACTTCCCCTGCAACAAACTCAGCATTAATAATTGATCATCTAAAATGAATCTTGGATCGTGTTGCAAGTGATGACTTGCTTAGGAAAGCACAAAGGTAGCTAACTTTGGTGGAAAAAGAAACGTTTAAGAACTTGCAAATTTATGTTTATATGTGGCCTGTGTTTTATCTATGCATGTTAATCCATTCTATCAGCAACTTAATTGGCTTTGAAGAAGCCTTAATATTGTGGAAGACAGTGTTGGAACAACTGTATTAACTCTAAACATAGGGAGACTAAGACAAGATTTTTGTACTAGTTGAAGTTCTCACAGCGGTCACGGCAGGAGTTGCAGTGCCAGCTTCTGCGTGGAATTTGCAGCTGAGAAATTGGAGAAGTGAAATTTGGAGGCAGTCCGAAGCAAAGTTAAAGAGCAATTGTAATAATCAATTTCTTAAAAGAAGTACTGTTATGGTTTAACCCAGCAGGTAGCTAAACACCACACAGTCGTTCACTTGTTCCTCCCTCCCCTCAGTGGGATGGGGGAGAGAATCGCGGAAAAAAAAAAGAGTAAAATTTGTGGGTTGAGACAAAGACAGTTTAATAGGACAGAAAAGGAAGGGAAATAATAACAACGATAAAAGAATGTACAAAGCAAGTGATGCACAATGCAATTGCTCACCACCCACCGACCGATGCCCAGCCAGTTCCCGAGCAGCGGTCGTCGTGGTGCTTTGTGCTACAATGATATGGTTTCTTAGTTTCAGCCACAGATTAATCAGAAATCATGTTTTATTTCTCTTTAAAAAGACTCTGCTCATGTGCTACCATTTTTTTTTCTTCTTGCAAAACCTCTGATTCTCTGGTGTGGGATCGTGCCGAAGTAACCGTTCAGAACTGACAGCTCACGAGCTAAGACTAAGCCGACTGGCTCCTCTTTCCCAGGAGAGGGAGCTCTACGGTCACCGTAGTACTAGCTCCCTTTCGACTGAGAAGGGCTTTGCAATCTCTTGTAGGCCAGCAGAGGGTATGTGCTGGACAGTCCGTTTGTAGTTTAGCCCCCTGATCACAGGATTCTCTGCCTCAAATCACAGATATGTGTTTGCCACCATAGCCTTAATGAAACTTAGTCTCCTATTAAAATAATACTCTGTTGAATGCATAAAGTATCGGCAAAAATTCAGAGATCCCTTCGATTCCTACTGGAATTTCTGACGTTGTAGTACCTCAATAGATAAAGAGGGTGCAGGTGTTTAATAGTATTATTCACTAAATTTAAGTGTGCATACAGAAATCCCTCCTCTCACTCATCAGAATTCTTACTACCTCCAGAAAGGGCACAAACGTCAGAAAAGTGAACCCAAATAGAAAAAACTCTAGACATAAAAAATCAGAACTGTGAGACTTCATGAACTGTATTCATGTATGAGTTCAGAACATATCCCTGTGATGTAATATACCTGTCATTATTATAACCATGCCAGTACAGTCTTAAATGTCATATTACTAGAAAAACATTGCATGTCAGAATTTCATTGTTCAAACCAGCACTAAGGCAAACAAATAGCAAACAGTATCAGTGGTGAAAAGCCAATTTATTTTTTTTGTGAAAGATTGAGATTTCTTGAAAAATTTATAGAGTTATTTACTAAACATATAGATTTTATTATGATTTAGACTATAATCTGTTTTCCATATAGGTCAGCCAATGCCTGTTATGTGTTAAAAGCTGAGGAAACAAGTGCAGGAAAAGAGGTCAAAGCCAGGAAACAAAAACCAAGAGGGATGAACGATGCAAAACTGAATACACGATTAGCCATTTGCGATACGTCTGAAAATATAAAAAAAAATTTTGTTTGGCATATAAAAAAGCACAAAG